CTGAAAACAGTTGTGCTGCCAAAAAAATTTTTTCAGGATTTCTTTGATAGAAAGTTAGGACATCATTTATTTGAAAAAGAAATCTTTTATCACATTATAAACATCTTTGCTGAATAAAATTATTAATTTAATAAAATAAATAATCTTATTGACCCCAAAATATACACACACATGCTGTATATTAAATTTAGGACACACAATTATAAATTGCCCTCCTACAACAGTTAAACTGCATTTGCTTGTTGGTGTCCTCACATCTCCTTTTTGATAATCATCTGTATCTCATGCCTGTGGTTGTACAGAATCTATTTTAGTGGTGCATAATCAAGTTACTCAATTCAATGTTTTTCCATCAGGGACATTGCTGTGAGAAACGTGCTGGTTGCCAAACCAGACTGTGTGAAGCTAGGAGACTTCGGCTTGTCCCGATACATAGAAGAGGAGGAGTATTACAAAGGCAAGACTAAGGCTGACTAGTCTGTTTAACCTTATCATGCAGTTTGAGTCTAATATTTCACTCGCATTTCTTATGCCTGATGCTGTCAAATGACACTGTTTGTTTTCTCTCTGAAGCCTCCGTGAGTCGATTACCTATTAAATGGATGGCGCCGGAGTCCATCAACTTCAGACGCTTTACCTCGGCGAGTGATGTCTGGATGTTTGGTTAGTGACTTTGAAGCGTGACGTGAGATCAATGCGTTTAAACATGCACGACGCGTTATGTCACTTCCACAAAGCGTAATGCAGTCTTTTCAAAGCTCAGTCACTGTTCGGACCACATTAGGCAACAGATCAACCTAATCGTGAGGATTTTTCAAGCCGTCATCATGATGTGAATTCCTATTTCCTGTTGTCAGTCTTGTTGATTCAAAGCCGGTTCCTGTGAAGAGCCACATCTTTCCCAATGCCATGCGTCTTGAAGTTTTGCAATGCATTTCTGAAGCAGTTTATGGTTCCTGATTCTTGGCGGTTTCCTGTGCTTCTCCTTTCAGCTGTGTGCATGTGGGAGATCATGAGTGGAAGTCAGCAGCCGTTCTTCTGGCTGGAGAACAAGGATGTGATAAACCAGCTGGAGCAGGGCATCCGTCTGCCCAAACCCGAGCGGTGCCCGCCGACCCTCTACTCCCTCATGACCCGCTGCTGGGCCTACAGCCCCGTCGAGAGACCCAGCTTCGCAGAGCTTGTGTGCAAGCTGAGGTATGTCACTGCTGCCCTAGTCATCAAAGATGTAAAGGGTCGTCAGTTTGAACCATTAAACGAGTCATAAGTATGCATTTCAGAGCTCAAAGCAGACCCTAACCCAAAACAGAGCTTTTATTAAAAATAAGCTGTTAAAACTGCTTGTTCTGTATTTCTGCAAATTACCCACAGTACACATCAACGGTACCTATTGACTCACCAGAAACTTATCACTAAATACTTGTGCTGTCAAGCGATTAATCGCATCTAAAATAAACGTTTTTGTTTATATAATATATGTGTGTGTACTGTGTATATAATTATATTATGTATATATAAATACACACACATACAGTATATATTTTGAAAATATTTACATGTCACAGTATACACACATATATTATGTAAACAAAAACTTTTATTTTGGATGCGATTAATCGTTTGACAGCACTACTAAAAACCAAATTATGATCTTGACTAATACTGTAATTGGACATTAAGTGGAAAAAAATTAACATTAAAACTGGTAAATTTAAAATGTAAATGATAATCAAAAAACAATTTAAAAAATGTAAAAATAATATAAATAAATAATATTAAAAATATTAAACATAAAATAAAAATGTAAAGGTAATAAAAATAATAAAATAAAAATGTAAATATAATAAAAACATA